CTTTGTCCTCCATGGGGCTCGCCCTCCAGGCCATACATTAGGTGAGGTTTGGATCCAGGGACAGGATCCTCCTGCTCTAACTCACTAGGACCCTACTGTGTTCTCAGAACTGGGGCTAGAACCCAGGTATCCAGGCTCCCAGCCTCCACTGTTCAAACTCACTAGACCCCCCTCTTTATAATACCAGTTCCTGCACTTGCTTTTCCTTCAGTTGACCTTACGCTGAGGTCACTGGCCACTATGATATCACTGTAGTGATATCAGTTGGTTCTCCTGTCCCTGGAATTGGCCAATGAGATTCATGCTGACCATTGTGAAGTCATTGCTGTTAAGTCAATAAATCTAGCTTTTTCCCTGCTGTGTTCTCTGGACCTGCGAGAAGTCCAGAGAGTGCCAGACCCTTGGTTTTCTGGAGCTCGGGCCCCAGATCCTTGTTCCAGAGTTGCTGAGATTGGATTGATCCGGTTCAAAGTCTGCTGGAACTGGGAATCTGCTTTGAAATCCAGATCCATTAACTGGGAAGAGCTTCTGGTGCCACAGGAGCTGGAGACTTGGACCCAGAGCTTGGTTTTGGCATTGTGGCAGGCCCAGTCCAGATCCTGGTTCTGAATTCAGTGGGCTGGGAAGACTGAAACTTGGTTCTGCTGCTGCCACATCTTGGAGTCGAGATCCAATAACTAGGACTTGCATCTGCCCTCCTGTGAGCAGAAAGACATCAGTCTAGGCCCTGGTTCTGACCCACTGGGTTAACTGGGACCTGGTTTTGACCTCATTGGAGCAGGGAGACCTGGTCTGCGATTCTACCCTTCCTGGAACAGAGAAATCCCTGCCTACTGCCCAGCCACGCATCCTGTCCTTCTGCAGTGTGAAAATTCAGCTCCACATCTTATACCCCATGTCCCGGCCCTTAATGCTGCTACTGTTGGTACTGGCACTGGTGCTGAATGCAGTGCCTGGGGCCAGCCTCAAGGACTGCTACTTCTGTGAGGTGACATCATCACAGAAATGCCCCAGCACGCTCATGAGCTGCGACAATGATGAGGACTGCTTTGTGGGCCGTGGTGTGGCCCTGGGTGTCTCTGTGGTGCAGAACAAGGGCTGTACCAGAGCTATCAACTGTGGCAAGGAGCATCCCATCACCCACATGGGTGTCACTTACAGCCTGGTCACTCAGTGCTGCAAAGGGGCCCTGTGCAATGCAGGCACTGCCCTGCCCCGCCTGCCTGGCTTTGGCCTGCTCCTGGCACTGGGCCTCGCCTTCCTGCTGGGGCGCCCCTGAGCCTGCCCAGGAGAGAGGGGGACTGGGATCTAATAAAAACCCTGAGAGAGGTGGATGGCTGGCGTGGCTTTGTGTGGCACTGGGGCATTGGGAGAGGGGGCAGGAGGGAAGGCATGGACACTTGGGGTGCGTCCAAATGAGTGCGGTTGTGTGGTATGCGGTGCTGCAAACATGTTTGCAGCACCACATACTGCACAGTCTGGTGTCCTCCATGCTGCAAGAGTGTGTGCTGCGCTGGGTTTTTTCCCACAGATTTTTTTGACCCCTGGATATCCAGAGGTCAAAAAAAAATTGAGGATAAATAAAAACAACCGTGCAACGTACACTCGGCCAGTGCATGCTCAGGGCTGCCCAGAGCTGTGCTACGGCTGCTGGCCAGGCTCTGCATGGCAGAATTACTGCTGCTGCAGCCCTGGAAGGCTCCCAGGAGGAGCCTTCAGGCCCTGCTAGGGTCAGCTCAGTGCTGGCCCCAGCCTCCCCTACCCCACTTGGGGCAACTTGCCATGCGCCAAAGTGTGTGTGGCATGGGTGTTCTCTGGAGAACCAAACGTCCACACTTTTTTTTTTAATTATTATTAAAATATATTTCTATATATAGGGAGAGAGTTATATGTATCCATCCTCTATCATAAGATTTCCATCACACATCTTAAAACTGCATTAAGAAACCCGCGCTTCCCATTACAATAAACTCACCCAATCCCCTATGCCCCTGCACACCCTCCCTCCACCCTCACCTACCCAAATCGCAGTCCTTTAGTCCAAACCCTGATTTGGGGTTTACATTCTCAGTTCATTCGCTGTCGCTGTTGATGCCGCTGTCAGTCCTGCTGCTACTGATCCTGTTGTAGTCCTTCTCACTGTCTCCAGGTCCAGTAGCATCTCTGTCGTCTTTGTTCTCTTTGTCTACTTCCCCTCCCGGGGTGGTCTTTGAACAACCTGTGCCAAGTGTTGCTTTTCCAGATGAAATTGGCTACATCTTCTCCATCCGCACTCATCGATTTCCAGTGCTAGGACTGAAGTTCACTCAGAAACATTTTAACACAGTCTGTTTCCTTGAGCTCGGTGTGCTTGTATAACAGGAGGTTCCTGCATTGCCACAGGGCACTCCTGACACAGGACACACACTGGACGAAACACATTGTCTGGGACCCCTGCTGCTGCTGCCCCTGGTGTCCATACACTGCTGCCTCCCTTTCATCAGCCTGACTCCTGTCACTTTCAAGGAGCCAACTCACCTTTTCCCACACCTTTTCCAAACCAAACCTTTTCCAAATAAAACGTCCACACATATCTGGATGTGCCATTGGTGTCCTCTGGCTATAGCATCTGAGATGGTTGGATCTACCTGGCTGTCAGTGTGAGGGGAGGGCTCTGTCTGAAATGGATGAGGGAGGGTCTGGATGAGTCTGGAGGTGGAAGCAGCAGGCATCCTGGAGCTGAGTCCTGTGTCCTGGGGAGAGAGATTGTAATCTGGGCAGGGCACACAGGGGCAGTGGTGATGCGTAAAGGGTGCAGGGGGGTGCATATGCACCCCCTGAGAGCACCAGTGCATCCCCTGACTGGCCATGCTTGCCACTTAGGCGATGGGCAGGGGGGGCAGGCAGGAGAGCTGGTGCCCCCTGTGTGAGCACCAGTCAGGGAGCGGTGCTCCCAGAAGTGGTTGCAGTGGTTGGCTGCCTTGTGATCTGCTGCTTCGCAATCGGCCGGGGGAGGAGCCGTACCCCGCATTGGTGAGATCGGCCACGGTGCGCCCCCGCCCCCCCGGTCAGCGAAATTGGTTGCTGGGGGGGGGCACGTGCCCCCCACCCCGGGCTACAGTGGCACCAGTCGCCCATGCTCAGGGGTCATGTGGGGGAGTCCAAGGTGCTGGGGGAAATGAGGAAGACAGGAAGTAGAAGAGATTGCAAACTGGGCTTAGATCAACGGTGTCTTGAAGTTTAGTTTGAGAGGGGAGATGGGGCCACAATGGGAATTGCAAACTGGGGGTAGGACTGAGGCATCTTGGAGGTACTTTCAGAGTCTTGGTGGGGGAAGGAGGAGTGGCAGGCATTTGCAAACCAGGAGTAGGACCCAGGTGTCCTGGGGATGAATCCAGCATCAAGGCTGGAAGGGGAGTGAGCAGAGGGTATTGTACGCTGGGTTGAGAACCCAGATGTCCTGGGCGAAGCTTGCATATTGGGTGTGGAAGTCCCAGTAGAACCAGCCAGCCTCTGATGTGTTCCCCATCCCAGAGGCAACCACATCTCATTGCTTGGGCAAGCTGGGCCTCGTGTGAGACCCTTGGGCTATGCATGGCACCTGCTGTGTCTGTTTGACCCCAGTTGTGGGAGGGGGTACTCAGGAAAGGGACAATGTTTAGATTCTTCCTATGTGTCATCTCCACCAGCCACTTGCTTTGGGAATGTGCATCTCTTGCCTGCAGCTCAGGGCCTCAGCTTGTGGGGCACAGGCTGGCTTTGCACTGCTGCAGCAGGAGATCTGAGATGGCAATGGGTGCTTCTGAACCTGGCATCTGGGGCAATTCCAGTCTGCCTCATGACATCTACCCCTCCTCCACCAGCAATAGTGGGCAGACACAACCTCCCTTTCTGCGCTAGGGTTTGGTAGTGTCAACTCTGGGTAAGGGCCCCTGTGTAACCCCTGAGCAGTGTGTGGCACCTGCTGTGTCTGTTTGCCTCCAGCTGCTGGGGAGAATGGGCAGGGGGATGCTTGGGAGGGGTAGTGTCTAGATGCCACCCTTCCCATAAGCAGATGCAGGCAGATGCTTGTTGGGGGTGGGGGGAATGCCCCCTCCCCCCAGAGAACAAAATATTTCCAGCTATGTTGGGGGTGAGAGGATTTTCATGGTTTCCACTTCTAAATTTCATGAGTTTTTTTTTTTTATTCTCATCCCCTCCTCCCCCCCACTGCCTGACTTCCCCACTCCGTTCTGCTTTCCCTTACCTTGTTATCTCCACTGCCCCCTCCCTTCTCCCCCGCACTGCTATCCCATTCCTCTTGCCTTCCCACTCTCCTGGCCCCATCCTTTCCCCTAATTCCCTCTCCCAACCCCACTCTCCTCTGCTCCCCTCCTCTGCCCCTCAACTGCATCCACCCCACCCCATGCTTTGCTGCCCCATCCCACTGTCCTTTCCACCCCATAACTACCCCCACTCTCTCCCCTCCCCAACAGCTTCACGTGGACTGATGCCCGCCTGCACCGCCAGCTGGTGATGTTGCTGACAGGCGATGTGGCTGGGACCTTCGACCAGGAGTTCCGCACCCTCTACGCTGCCTCGCACCCACTGCGGCCTCCCGCGCCATCCACTGCCCATGCCAGCCCTCCCACCCATGACCATGCCAATGGGGGACCTGCATCCCAGGTGGCTCCCTTCCTCAGCACCCTGGCTGGCGTCCACCTCTCCCCGGGGGCCCACCACGTGGCTGAGCGCCGCTCTGTGGCCCCCCAGCCTGTGGCCAAGAGCCGAGCTGGCGACTGGGCAGTAGTGAGGGCCACACGGGCCATGGCTGCTGATGGTCCCTCCCCCATCAACTTGCCTGAGGCCACAGCTGTGACACCACTCCGGCGCCCCATGGAGGCTCCTAGGGGGCATGCTGCCCTGAGTGACATCCACCGCAGTGTCCAGCGGGCCCGGCTGGTAGCTACCCGTGCCACAGGGCAGAGGCCCACCAAGTCGCTGTGGGACCTAAGCCGGCTCTCGCAGCTCTCAGGCTCCAGTACTGACTCTGGCCAGCATGGCACTGAGCTGGGGGATGATGCCCAGGTGAGTCTGCTGTGCCCAGGGATGGCAGGGGAAATCAGTGCCCTGGGTGGTGGGAGAATGGGGGCTAGGACTGAGGTCCCCTGACACCTTGAGGCCTGATAGGGCAGAGCTGGGGATTCCTGGCATACCAGCACAGAGCCAGGAGAGGAGCCAAGGCAAGTTGGCTGCTCTGTGGCTCCCAGCCCCTAAGGAGGGGTGGGGTGGGATAAAGACCAGGGTTTCCTGGATGGGGAGACTGAGGCAAGAGATTGGGGTCCTACTGTACTCCAAGGCCAGGTAGAGCAGTCTGGGAATGGGTGGAGGGGCTGGGGTCCTCCCCCCACCCGTAACCCAAGGCCTGGCTGGGGAACAGAGGGCTAGGCATCCCCAGCAAACTGGTGAGAAGGTGAAGGTGTAGGGATAGGTAACAATTGGGTAATGCTGGGACTTGATGGCTATCTTGACAGGGGAGAGGAGGGCTGTCTATGTGTCCCAAGCCCTGGTGAGGGGGTGTGACCTGGGCATCCCCACCCCACCTTTGAATCATAGAAAAGTAGGGCTGGAAGGGACATCCAGAGGTCATCCAGTTCAACTTCCTCCTTGAGGCAGGATTGTTATTATCTAAACTGTTCCATACAAATTCTTATGTAACCTATTCCTAAAACTACATAATCAACTCTGTCGCACAACTACAAGGCATATTGCTCAAAGGTTCTTGAAGCACCCTAACCTGCCACAGGTGAAGCTGGGGGACAATAACAGTCACTGTCCTCCTGCTGCAAGGTCTGCTAAAATGCTCTGGGGAGATCCAAGGAAGAGGGCCAGACCCTTGCTACAAGGAAGGCTAAACCCTCCCATAGTCTGTACCAGTCTGACCATGGGGTAAAATTCCTTCCTGACCCCAAACATGGTGATTGATATGACCCTGAGTGGAGGGGCAAGACCCTCTAACCAGAAACTCCTCAGGGTTTTAGTTCTAGCAGGAGCACTGGCGTACTCCAAAGTCCCCAGCCCTGGCTGCAGCCAACACCCAATGCTTCTGAGGAAGGTGAAAAAAAACCTTTAACTAACTAGACAGCCAGAACACCCCTTTCTCCATCTCCTCCACAGAGTTATTCCAGCTGCGTAGATCTCCTTTTCATAATTAAGCCGGGGGTGGAGATCTGCTTCATTCTTTTGCTGCTGACCATGGTCATCTGCTTTATCCACCTTCTTTAAGCTACAAAACTCTTCTTGTTATCTCCCAGCAATCATTCTGTTGCTTTTTACATGCCACGCCAGGCACAGATACTCCTAGATCATCTCTGATCAAAGCTTGTCCAATCTCTTCTTGAAAACTGCTAAGGATGGAGAGTCCACAACTTCTGCAAGCAGTGTGTTCCCCTGCCTCACTGTTCTAACAGTGAAGGAGTTTATCCTGATATCCAGTTGATCAAATTTAAACTTCTTTTGCTGCAACTTCAAGACATTGGTCCTTTTCCTGCTCTTTTCAGCAACAGAAAAAACGGTGTTTTCCTTTTTTTTTTTTTTTTTGGCAGCTTTTCAGATATTTGAAGACTGCTATCATGTCCACCCTCTGAGGCACCTTTTCTGCAAACTGAATGTGCCGATTTCTTTCCACTTCTCCTCACATGGCTTGCCTTCCAAGTTCTTTAGCATTTTGTCACCCACCCCTGGATCCCCTCTAACTTTTCTCTATGTCCTTTTGAAAACATCAAGGCCAAAACTGCACACAACAGTCTAGATGAGGCCTAACCAGTGCTGAATGAATAGGCACAATCACCTTGTCTTGAACTGAACACTCCTGTTGATGCAACCCAAAACCACATTTAGCCTTTTGTGCAGCTGTATCACACTGCAGATGCATGTTGAGTCTGTGATCCACCAGGACTCACAGCTCCTCCTCCCTAATGCCGCCATCCACCCATCTTGTATTTGTATTATTGGTTATTCTTCTCAAGGTGTGTATGTGTGTGTGTGTATATATATATATATATATATATATATATATATAGCACTTTGCATTTCTCAGTATTGCACTTCAGCCTGTTGGGTTTATCTCAGCTTTCCACTCAGAATCAGAATCCTTTTGAATTGCTCTCTTTGTGTTCTCAAAAGACCAAGGAGTTAAACTTACTGAACAATAAAGCTTGTTCATTCAGAGAGCCTCTTAGCCTCCCCCTCTGCTGTTCCATGGGGTTCCCTCCTCTCTCCCCCATTCAAATGTAACAACTTATACATACCACTCTTAAAGGTATCAACACACTCCTGTCCACCAGTATGCTCATAATCATTTCCAGTTTCATGTCATCTGCAAATTTGTTCAAGAAGCTCTCTATTCCATTATCCAAATAATAAATCTGTAAACACGTTGAACAGCTCCAGGCCCAGGAAGACCCCCGTGGAACTCCACTCAGCGTTCTGCCATTCCAGTATAAATCCATTTATATACCTTTTGGTTTGTGACAATTGAGCCAGTTGTCTACCTACCTTTCGGTAACTTTGTCTAGCCCACATTTCTGCAATTTGCTTATGAGAAGGCCATGTGAGACTCATAAAAAGTCTTATAGAAGTCCAGCTATCCTATATCCACTGCATTCCCTCCATCCACCCAGCTAGTTATTTTATCAAAGAAGATCAAGTTTATTTGGCACAATTTGTTCTTAATAAATCCATGTTGGTTGCTTGTGATCAGCCTTTCCTTCTCCATTTCCTTGAAAATGGACTTCCTTATAATATGTTCCAGTAACTTCCCATGCACTGAGGTGAGGCTAACTGGTCTATAATTCCCCAGGTCCTCCTTTTTAAAAAAGGGGTATTGCCAGCCCTTTTCCAGTCATAGAATTGTAGGGGGGGCTGCAAGGGGCCTTCAGAGATCACCTATTCCAAACCCCTACTAGATGCCAAATTATTCCCTATCCAACCCATCCTATACACATTCATTGCCTAACCTATTAGTAAAACTATAGTCAGCCCTGACAACCACAGTGCATAACACCCTAACCTACCACAAGTAAGGCAGAGGGACAATGGTGGTGCCTCACCTATTTCCTATGATTTTGTAAATATTATTACCAAAGGCTCAAAAATCTCATCTGCCAGTTCCTTCAGGACTCTGGGATGAAGTTCATTAGATCGTGATAACTAATGCATTCAGATCCAGCAAAAGCTCTCTCAATTTTTCTTTTCTCAACCCTGGGCTTGTCCTAGTCCTTATCCAGATAATCTTTATTAGCTGTCTGGTTGCGGCCTTCTTTGTGAGGACTGAGGTAAAGTAGCTCTTGAGCAACTCTGCCTGCTTTGCATCTTCTGTTAAGAGCTCACCCTCAGTACTTAATGGTGGCCTCATAGCTTCCTTGATCTTTGTTTTCCAGTCAAAAATTTATAGAATAGTGAGTCTCAGCTCACTCTAGATGCTTTGAGAGCCTTTCAAGGGTGTTGTGGGACGTCATTCCATGTTAGCACTGTTAGGTGTGCAAACATGATTCACAAGATAAACCCAATGATTTTAAATAAGAATCCATAGCGTTAACAAACTTCTGGCCTATTTTGTCATTCTGAGCTCTTTGCACCAGAAAAAATGCAGTATTCTTTTTCCATAGTCAAAAAATGAGTGAAAATTAAGATCTGGCATTTTCAAAGGGGTGCCTTGAGTGTAAAAAGGCTGAGAACCTCTTCCTGTTGTCTTTAACTTCCCTCACCAGGTAAAGCTCATTTTTCACTTTTGCCTTACTGATTTTGTCCTTGCAAGTTGTTCCGCCTTGGCCCAACACCCCCACCCTGCGTCAATATTGACTCATGCACCAGTCTGGGCTGGGTATGGGCCCAGGTGTCCTGCCTGAGCACCCTGAGAAGAGGGGGGTTATGAAAGCCCCCTTCCTGCCCTCCCCAGGTTCTTTCCTTAAACAATTCCTTGTGCTCTCTTCTTGCCCCAACTTTTCTCCCCTCTTTTGCCCCCTTTCTCCTTCCTTTTCTCTCTCTCTCCCTACTTCTTTCCTTCCTGTTCCCCTATTGCCCTTTCACCTTGTCCCTGCCCCAACACATGTAGGTTTTTGGGGTGCTAGGAGGAGGGTTCGGGCAGGACTGGAGAGGTCTAGTCCTGGGGGCCAGAGATCCCCTTGGTGTTAGGCTGTGAATTACAGGCTTCTCTGCAGCTCCTGCCACTAGAAATGGGGCTGGAGAGAAGGCTTGTGAGGGGAGCAGGGCAAGGCACCCTGGAGTGGTCAAGGTGGTACTAGGGTGGGGAAGGGATGCATGGAGGTGGGGAGATCGTAGAGGGCAGGGAGGGGACCCCCGGGGAGATACAGGGGGGGCACATAGTAGGAGGGACCCTTGGGAGCAGGAACTATATCGGGGCTCTGGGCACCTCCCTTCCCCCTCCCCAATGCCAGGACCATAAATGGGGGGAGAGTTTATAGGAGGGAAAAGGCTGCTGGAAGGGACTCACTCTCTCTTGGGGGGGGTTGGGGCTGCCCCCCCATTTCTCCCTCCAGGGCAAATCCAAGTGGGGCTACCAGGACACACCAGCCCGGGCACTGATGCGGCAGCGTGGGGCCCCACACACTGGTGAGGACCTGCGCCAGCCCCCTGTCTTCCTGTCACCTGGCTACAAGCCCCCTGGGGCATCTGGCTACCTGGCTTTGGGTCGGTTGCAAGGGCAGCTGTATCATGGCCCTGTGGCTCTGCCACGGCCCTGGGGGCAGCCAACCACACACAGCTATGGAAAGCAGTGGCACTACTGATCCAGGCACTGGAGGCATCTGCCAGGAGACAACGGAGCCAGAAGACACCTCGACCTCTCTCGTACACAGCTACCAAGGGTTACGCTGGAACCAGATACTATCTGGAAAGGAGGTGTCCCCAGTTGTGTTGGTGTGAACTGGGATGAACTGGCGAGTGCCAATCTGGAGTCCAGCAGGTATATCATCCTGATTACACCAGTGTTGCAGGAATGAACTGATGCATGCTGCATACTGATTGGCTAAACTGGAGTCTGATTGGCATCTGTCCTGGTTATAGTGGCATTACTGGGCTGGATGGGCACAGCTCAAACTGGAGTCTGGGAGTTCTAGCCAGTTGTATTGCTGTTGTTGGGATGAGCCAGTGCAGAAACCCTGTCTTACACTGAAACCTGAAAGGAGTTTGGTTTCATTATGCTGGAGTTGCTGAGGTGAACCGTTGCATACTGACAGTTTTAACTGGACTCTGGTGAGAGTTTCTCCTGGTCATGCTATTGGTACTGGAAGGGGCAGATGACTTAAACTCAAGTTACACTGATGGTGCTGAAACAAACTGGTGCACCATGCCAATCTAAACTGGAAGCTGATGGGCATGTTGCCCGGTTTTACTTGTGGTACTGGGGCAAGCCAATGCCATACCAAAGACTTCAGCTGGAGCCTGACAGGAGTTTCTTGGATGTACTGGTTACTGGGTTGGACTGATGCAGCTCAAGACTAGATTCTGATGGGACTATTCCCTGCTCATACTGGTATAAGCTGGGAGGACATGATGGTCTCAACTAGACCCTGTTGGGGACTGTTCTCCAGGCAATGGGTGTTATTATAAGCTATGACAATTGTTACTGGGTTGAACTGGAGCAGACAGACAGACAGACAGACAGACATCAGCAGGAGGACCACTCCATCCCAGACTTCCTCACTTGGGTTTTGACACTACTGAAGAGATGACCCATCCCTGTGGCAGCTGATAGGAACGAGAAGTACTAAGAATTCACTAGTGTAAAGCAGGCATGGGGCACAGATTTATAGAGCCAGCGATTATATTGAGATACCCAGTTTAACAAATCAGCTTTTGCTGGTAAGCTAGTAGCAGGGGAGCATATTCCTGTAGCCAAGTGCTGGCTGGAGCTGGGACCTAGGTACTGGATGGAACTACCCAGGCCTTGGGAGCTGCAGCACCACTGGAGCTAGTAGGACCAACTGATACATGGAGGTTGAAGTGGGAGAGGAACTCTTCAGCTCCAGTCTCTCTCCCTGCCCCCAACTTGGGGGCAAAGTGGACTTGGGACAGATTAGGCCTATGGGAGCCCTGGGTTAAATATGAATCAACAGGAAACTTTTCTTCCTCCCAAGGGAAGTGGCAGGAGGGTTCTACCACTGTAACTGGTTATGCTAAATTACCCTCAAGATGGCAAGGTTATGGTACAGCACCCAGCTGCAGAGACTGGAAGAACCAGTTCTGAAGGGGTGGGGAAAGTAGGCCTGACCCAGACTCTGCTTTCTCCCCCGAAGTGGAAAGTGCAAGGGGAGGGGACCTTGCCCCCCTGAAATGTACAGGGGTTGTAGTATGAGAGACTGATAAGAGCCCCATGGGAAAAACAATACCATGAACTGAGTCTGGTGGGTTAGATGAGGGAGGGTACAGGAGACACGTTCTACCCCTGCTGGGGGCGGGTCTAGTGTGATAATGAGGCAGTACACTTGGGTTCTCTAGCCTGGGGACATGCCCCATAGGCTAAGAGTAGCAGGGATATACAGGAAGGATGACTCCTCATCTTTATGTTAGTCATTTAATAAGAACAAAAAGAAGTAATGTGCCCTTCTACCACAACAGAAATATTTTTTCTAGTGCAGCACAGTGAGCTCTTCATCTTAGTTGTATTGGATCTGCCCAATTGGGAGCCATGTGGCCTTCATCTCAGAAGGGAGAGAAAAAAATAAAACAAAAACAAAAAAACCCCACAACAACCAAAATGCATTAGAAAGCCATACTCACTACAAGCTGTCACCTGCTGCAACCAGCAGTGGGAAAAATCACTTTAGAACAGTAGATCCAGGGTTCTGCAGCCTACTGGTGTCCAGCTCCCCCACCTTGTAAAATACAGCCATCTCAGCTGTCCCTAACTTTCAGGCACACATCCAGGGGCTACAAAAAATGAAGCTGACCAGCTAGGACTGGGGCAGGGCAGGGGGTACTGCCAGGTTTAAGGCAGGTTTGGAGGTTATTTTTAGAACAGGTCAGAGAAGACTCCCCTTCCAGAGAGCAAAGTCAAGTGGGGAAGGGAGTAACACCAATGCTGAGGAGAGCAGCTGCTTTTATTAGAAAGCAGATGTCATGATCCAGGGAAGCCCCCTTCCCTGCAAAATCCAGGGCTAAATGCAAAGCCAGCAAAGGGGAGAAGAAGAAAAAAAGTTGTTTTGTTTTTTTACAGTAAGTTGCATGCACTAGGGAACCCCTAGTGCCATGCCCTCCCCCAACCCGAAGTGTTGAGGAGCTTCTCAGCCAGCCCAGGATCCAGGATGGCAGGAGCATCTTCCATCACAAGAGTTGTTCACAATACCTGCAGGGGAAAAACAAAGACAAAACAGTTTTGAGTGGGAATGGGATCCCCGCCCCCCATGGTAGCTAAACTCCCCCATGTCCTCCTGGCTTGTCCCATGTCATACACACTACTGTGCACAATTGTCCATATATAGGATAAGAGCCTACTACTGCATGCATCTTATTGGACCAACTTTGTACTGTTACTGTTTTTACAAGTCAACCCTGGATACAAGTACACTTCACATTTTCAGGTTCAGTTTTAAGGAATCCACCCCAACATACATTTGAGGGATAGTGGGAATCTGTAAGGGCAGTTCAGGGCCTTGTTTTGGTATTTATGACTTCTGAAGTCCCCACAGAATACATCTAGGTCTTCAAGGATAGGGACATGTATCTGAATGAGTATTATAGCCTGCATGAGACAGAGCGAACAAGCGAGCGAGGCAGGTTGGGACAGTCCCCGTTTAAAAAGGATCAAGTGCAGTTTGTGGGAGGAAAAACCATGTTAAGGGTACCTCCAGGCATGCTCAGATAGAGGTGCACAGGAAAAGCTAAACCCCACTTGAAATACCCAGATTAAACCTGTATTTTCCACTCATACCACTGCTCTTTACTGAAGATAAGATGAACAGTCAAACCAAAGTCCAGAACCACTTAAAAAAAAATTCGAAGTTAGTGCTGCACCACCACAAAGTCTGTGAGGGACAGAGCTCCACAACCATCACATCAGCCCAGAGATGGGAGTATAGCTGAGCCTTTTGAAGGCAAAAAGGTGTCTGTTAATGGACACCAGGGGCAAGACTGTGCTTTCTAGAATACAAAGTGCAGAAGCCAGAATTTGGCCTGGATAAGCTCCACAGTGAGGGAGGTGGGGGAAGGAAAAATAGAAACAAAACAGAAAAAAAAAAAAAACCCCACCACATCCACCCCAAAAGCAGAATTCCTTGCTGATTAGACTAAATAAATAAAAATCATCTTTAAAATAAGTGCTGGAGAGTAAATCTGCACTTTTGATTGCTTCCCTAGACCCCAAGCAGACAACTATGTAAAATTCCTGCAAATTGAACTAAGAAGTTCTCTCCTCAGCCAACCCTCCAGAAAAATCAGAGCACATACAAGGATCTAAGAAGTTAGTCTGATTTAAAAGCTGACTAGTACCATTGCTGGGAAGGAAGACCAGCAGTTGAACACAAGATGCCCAGCTCTTCCTCACTGTACAGCTGGTTCAATCAGCTACCATGGTTAGATTCTAGCCAGGGTCTTCTCTCACCCTACTCCCTGGGCCATCACAGCTGCATTCATTGCTCTGTCATGGGATCTTGATACCACCTGCCTGATAGACACATCCTGATAAGAGCTGACTACCAATGCTGGGAACGAGCCCAGGCACTACCTGTTGATAGAAGGACCCTGTGTAGGCCATCAGAAATTGTAGGTTTATACTCCAATGAGACATTTGGGGAGTCCCAGGCCCTGCTAGTAGGAGTGGATCCATCTATTAACACTCCCCACCTTTACATTTTATAGCCTGGAACAAAAACAAAAGGTTCTCTGCATAGTAACTTTCTGAAGCCATGGCCCCATGCAAGCACTTCACTTGGATCCAAACTAAGATATTCACTTCAGATTCTGACCTGCCTAATACTTGGAAGGGGGAAAAAGTTTGAAAACAAGCTCAATCCAAACATGTTTGGGAAAGTAATAAAAGGAACAAAATTAATAAATGTGCACCTTCCCCACCGCCTCCCTCATTAGGGGAGAAATAAGCCAGCATCATTTCACTTGCTGACAAAAAAGTTACTTTGACAAGAAATAACCCCACCCCCAACAAAAGAAGGGACCTCAGAAAGGGGAGGAATTTTGCCTACACTGCGCTCCTACCTGTGGAAAGGGTAACAATACATTTCTGCTTTCCCAATCTGCGCAGCAAGAGCCCAGGCACCCGGGCCAGTAGCTTGGTGACATCCGCATATCCTGCCTCATGGCTCAGGACCATCAAGTCCATGTCGTGCTTCATTTTCAAAACCTCCAGCATTTTGCTTAGGCTCAACCCCTGGTTGAAGGGGCGCAGGATACACCAGAGCAAAGGAGCAAGAGCAGAGAGAGCTGGGGACAGATGTCCTTTTTGATATTTGTACAAGCCAACAGACATCCCAGCCAGCCCTCTAGCTTTTCAAAATTGGGCTGGGTAAAACCCAAGCCTCCTGGCTCTTACTTCCCACAGCTCTCACCCAGATACCACTCCCCTCTGAGAACTGTAGAGCCCAGATGTCCTGACACCCAGCCCCACCTGCTTTCACCTAGAGTCTTCCCTTCCCACCAGCCCTGAAGCCGCGACACAACTTGGGTTCCTGACTTGCAGCCCTGCACTTTAGCCACCTTCATCTTGCAAAGACTTCTTTTTCCTTGACAGAGCAGGTTTCTGCAGTTGCTGGGAAGGTGTACAGCAGTGCCCAGAGCACTCAGCTGGCAGCGACTGGCTGCTGCAGAGAGCTGGCAGAGGGGGACACCAATTAGAGGATGCCAGGCAATCACCCACAAGCTCTGAACAGGAAAAACAAACAAACAAACAAAAAAAAATACACTCAACATCAGCTAGAGATTTGAAACAATGGGACTCTGGCATGGGATCTGTGAAAGGCTTGAGGCAAGGTAGAACTGAGGGGAAAAGATCTAGCCTGGACAATGCTTCTTGAAGTGTCTTAGTGCCCCAGCTCCTTTGCTTTGGTCTACTTAGTAGAGAAGCAAGGCTTACCCTGGGATATGCCAGGCTAAGGTCCCAGATATCTGTACACAGCCCACGCCAATGGCATTGAGAGGGGCAGGAGGCATCTGGGATGCAGATGACAGAGGCAAGTAGCGGACAGTCTTTTCCTTCATAGCTGCTGGCCAGGTTCTGATGCATTCAGGTGTGTCCCACTACTCAGACCATGCTCTGACTGGTTGCCAGCAGTGGCTTTGGGCACTGAGGGAAGCATCTTGCAGCTAGGACCTCTGAAAGGACAGACAGGCTGCCTTCCAAGAGCCTTGGCTACTGGGAAAAGAATAGGGGAAGCCAGCCCCAGCATCACTACTAGCTCCACTGCCACCACCCCTGGCACTTTGGCCTTGCCCAGGTGCAACTGGGAGGGAGATGTTGAGTACGAAGACATGCCCCTCCCCCTCTCAAAAAGCCCCCCCCAAACCCGAAACAAAACACTCCCAAACCAAACAACAAAAAAAGCCCCAGTTCTCTTGGTACCTCTCTTGAGCCAAATGACGCACTGGAAGCCCCTTTCTGGGGCTTGCAGCCAGACACCTGGCATCCTCCCCAGCAGCTCCATTACAGCCCCAGGGCCCTGGCACTGACCCATAGTCTTCAAATCAACCCCAAGCTCTTTTTTCAAGAGCTCCAGCAGCTTCTTCAGCCTCAAGCCACTGTTGAATCCAGCCAGGATGGCCAGCACCAGGGGTACAATGTAGGCAACACCTGGGATGGACAGACAGCACAGATCTCAGAGCCAGCTGCAGCCCTCGACTTGGACAACCTGGACACAATCAGATATCCCACTCCCATCTGCACTATGAGAACTGGTGACAGAACCAAGGAATCTGGGTTTTCAGCCCTCTGCTCCAGGGAGACACTGGTTGCCCATGCAAGTCGGGGGGGGTTGGGTTGGGGGGGCACTTGCTCCCCCAGCAGCCAGTCAGTGACATAGGGGGGTCCCCCCACAGCCAAACGCGTTGACCTGAAGTGCCAGCAGTACACCCAGAAGGGCCAGGGGCGCTTCTCCTGGCACCCCACTCCCTGGCCAGTGCTCGGGGGGGGGGGGGGGGCACTCCTCACCCAAGCAGGGAACACTGGTTGTCAGAGGGTGCACCACTGCTCTGGGGGTGCACATGCACCCCCATAGGTCACCACTGTGCTCCAGTCTACCAGACCCCACTTCCCTCCCACAGCAGAGGGAAGAGTTCACCCCTTCCCTGCAGTCCTGTGCTCCGAGTCCTGGAGAAGGCCTCTTACCTTCTGAGCCAGCTGGTTTCATGGGTCCCTCCTCCCTTGGGTGCCAGTGGTCAGCAGTCCAGTCTTCACTGGGGCCAGGGCCAGATAGTTGAGCAGTGGTTTTCTTGCCCATCTCCAGCCAGACCCCAGGTTGTTGCTGGACCAGTACAAGAGCCCTCTCAGGCTCCCTGGTGCCTCCCAGCTGGGCCAGGTCTAGGTTAGACCTTGCTTGCACAGCCTCCAGGAGCTGGGGCAGTCCTTGCCCAGCAGAGAAGACATGCAGTGCCTCCTGCACAATGGGAACCAGGGCACTAAGGAAGGGTGTACATGGACACGTGGCCGTGGAGCTGCTGGAGCAGATACTGAACTCAGAGCCAAAAGTGCCCTCAGCCTCCTTCCTCTGCCCCTCCCTATTCCCAGCATGCCTATCCCAGCTGATGCTAGACCCTCCTGAACCACTCCCCCACAAACCCTACTCCCATAATTAGCCACAAACCTAACCCCACATCCTTCCACTTCCTTCACCCCCACATAGCCCCCAATTCTCAAGCCACTGTATACTAGTCCTCCATCTCCCCAAGGTCCTCCTGCATCATTTTCCACCCCCTGCAATAGCTCCCCACTCAATATCCCTGTGCCCCTCCCAATCCTCCTCCTTCCAATTTCCCTGTCCCCCCCAACCCTCCACTCCACTCCAGCATGCTTTCTGCTCTATTATCTACCCACATCCCAGACTCAGCAGTGCCCTAAGCCAGGTACTACCTGCCTGCTCCAGGGACTCCAGCTTCATGGGTGGCCCTAGAGGGGCCAGGGAGCTGCAGAGTCTCTTACTAGGAGCAAGGTCCTTCTGCTCAGCTGGTGCCGCCCACTTGGAGCATGTCACTGGGGTTTCTATGATTATTACCTCCTCATCCATAGGGGTCAGCCAGAGTCACACCCAAGCCCGACATGCAGCCCACCTACAAACAAATCTTACTGGGAGTTTTTGCTCATCTCCCAGAGCTGGAATAGAAGTCCAAGCTCCTCTTTTCTTCTCAAGCTGGAAATAAGCCCCAGAAATCCCAGCCTCCCCTTAGCCACTACTATAACCCACCAGACCCCACTCACCTCTAACACCAGAAAGAGAGCCCAAGCCAAGCACCCCACCCAGCAGTATTTCCCAGCTAAGTAAGAAACCAGCATAACCACAGGACTTCTTATACTTCACCCCATGTGGGGGTGGGACCCAAGTGGACCAATTAGAGGAGGCCTTGCCCTCAATTAAAGCAGTACCTAATCAGAAATCCTGCCCATTGGTTGGGCCCATAACCAATCCCCTGCACCCTCTGGGAGTTCCAAGAAGCACTACCCCCACCTTGAGCTCATAGAGCAGGAAGACTCACCTGGGGAGGGAGTGGGTGGCAGGGAGAGAGGTAAGGGCAGGGAAGGGAAGTTGTGGTCAGAGGAGGGCTTGGTGGTATCCTAGGGCTGTTGAGGAGCAATTTGAAGGGTTTGTTTGGAAGGCTGCAGGGGTGGGGAGTGGATGTAACAATCAGCAGACAGGGGCTGGCTCACAGACACCTGGGGACACTCAAGGAGAAGGGACTAAAGGCTGGGGAATTGGGTGAGGCTGATTTTTTGCCAAAAGACCACCAATGGGCTCCTTGAATCAGGGGACCCAGGTGATTAGGGAGGCAGGGCAGGAGTCTGAGGAGGCTGAGACACAGGGGTGGGCATTGTGTACCAGAGCTGTGCTGAATGTAATGCCAGAGTAGATGCAACTCAGGGAGCAGTGGGCAGAGTTAAGGTCATGAAGGACTGCTTCCTAAGTGGAATCATGCCCATGAAGCAGTCCTGTCTTAGCATGGGATAAGGGATCACCACACAGAGGAAAGGGAAGGGGGCACAGAAGCAGCCAGGTATGACAGAGTATGGGTACCTACACGTGTGAAATCTCCCTCCACTGAGCCTGTGCCTGGGATCAGTCTACTGGGGCATCATTCAAAGAGGGCAGAGTTAAAGGGTTACAGGCTTTGAGTCTGTGCTTCCTACTTTCCAGTGGCTGATGTTAAACCCAAGGCTGCAGCCTAGAAGGGCATAAGGAAGCATTGGGCAGTCCCATCTCCATGCTAATGTAGTTCATGAGCAGTTAATGTAATACTAAATGAGATGGGAGAGGGGAAGGCACTTGGCAACCCCACAGCCCTGTGGTTACTTCCATTTTGCCCACAGGGAAACAGGCACGGAGAAGGGAGGAAGGGTCAGAGCCCAGCAGTCCCCTGACACAGATAAGAAACCACGTGGTCCTGAGAACCCACCTGTGGCCCACCCACTGGCACACGGTGCCATGCAGAAAGGAGCTGTGGGGAACAAGGTGTTTCTACCCTGGCTTTGCCACAGAGACCAAGATCCTGGAGACAGTAGAGCACAGTTCAGAGGAAATACACCCCCTCCTTGCATAAGAGATCCCAGCCCCAAGTTCCCCTTCTCGGGAGAGCCCTGCATTTATTATTATTAAAAGAAATCATGGCATTTTGAAAAGGAAAGGGGAAAAACTCCCAGCTTTCCCACAGCAAGGAAATGCTGCTTTTATTATTTTCATTTCCACTGTAATTATTATTGATATTATTAATGATAATGTTTGTTTATTTCAATTTCAGCCAGAAGTCATTCTCCAGGGATCCTGGCTCAGTTGTCACCTGTAGGAAGCCCCTATATTCCCTTCCCCCACACTACAGCAGCAAATCCACCATAAGTAGGAAACGCTATCCTGTGGTGGATCACACAAAGGAGAAGCAATTGATTTACTTAATTAATCTGGGTTTTAAACTCTGCAAGCTACAGCCCTCCTCCTGCTCTAGGAGCTTCTAGAGTGGAGGACATGGCTGGGATTTCCCATCAGACTGCTGAGACAAGCTGGCATGAAACAAAGATGCCCATTCCTGCCTATAGCCATGAACCCTGCAGGAGATCTGTTAAAAATCAGCACATTCCTGCCTTTGGACTTCACTGAGCCAGCATTTTCTAAGAGAAAATGTGCTGGAATAGTTTCCAATAGCATGAGGTATTTTTTTTTTTTAATAACACAGGTTTTTGCATGTTGATCACAAGAAAGTGGCATTGGAAGGGATTGTGCCAATTGTGGGAGACAAATCAAGACATTCATTTTTCCTTGGAAAAATACCCATGCAGCCAAAACCAAAATATTTTGCAGAAACAAGGCCATTTGGTTGCAATTCAACAAAACTACCATCAAGGCAGTTTTATTCCCTCCAAAATATCAAGCCGTTATTGCTGCAACATCCTTGTCAGGTTGCCTGATAATTTCCCACCTTCCAGATGCTGTCAGACCCTCTCCTCCAGCCTGCATTTCTTCTGGCTACACAGGTGGCTGCCAATAACCTCCTGATGACATGCATTGTTTTAGTAGAGTCTGCTGGCTGCTGTGGACTTTGCCTATTTAGTTCCATCGCTGCCAGGACTCTCCAGATCTCCGCTCCACCTCCTCAGGCCTTGAGAAGGCAAACAAGGTAAGACTTTTGCTTCTTTTCTCCCTGCCTTCTTAGATGGCCCATGAAAAGAAGCCATTGACCCTACCACCAGATAAAGCAGCACTTCAGCCAGCGGGTGGCCAGAAAGTTTTATATTCTGGATGAAAACAAAAGGGTGGGAAATTTCTACCTCTAATATTTAATGTTGTGCTCCAGAAACAAAGCCAGTTTTTAGCTAGGATGAGGAGCTCACTGCTTATCACAGGGTCAAACCCCTGGGTCCAGAGCAGCCAGAAGAGCCTCATACATTCCACCCATGGCTATGTAGGAAATGCTGCCCTGTGGGTTACACAAAGGAGAAACCCAACATCTTAGGCCAGCTGGGCTCTAAACTCTGCAAGCTACAGACCTCGCCCTTGCTCTAGGAATTTTCAGAGTGGATGCGTTTTGCCTACCATCTCCACCTGTGGGATAAGAAAGAACAGCTGTGGAAGGGAACAACTGTTTAAATAGCAATTTTTATTGAGAAAACATCTGGAGGTTTGTAAAATAGAACATAAAAATTGAGATTTTGCCCCACTCCCCTCAGTGGGCGGGGAAAAGAAGTGCTTAAACAACGCTTTACTCCTTTGTTCAGGGCAAAGACATGTCTCCATTTAGACAAAAAAGGAGCCCTGGATTGTCCCTTCCCTCCCATGCGCACAGTCCTTTCCCATACCCATATGAAATGGGAAGGTTCTAGATGTGCCCACCACCCAAATGCCTGGCTTGTAGGTCTATACCCAGCCTATCAGATGGTGACTAATATAGAACCTAACCCCAAAAAATTTGCACTGGATTCTAGATTCTTACCTCAATAGGAATGTGTCCTAGATCAACCAGTCCTCAACAAAGTTGCCTGGTTTCTAGACCAGCATTGCAAAGAAGTATATTCTAGTTGGCCCCCAAGTAAGCTAGAACCAACTGGATTCTAGATTAACCACGCTATTAGCAAGGTTTAATTCTAGATGTGCTTGCATCACGGCTGATATCAGCCCCAACCCTGGGTGGGTGCTGAGTATGCATCACCAAATCCGACAGATCTGTCTCAGGTTTTACTGTCAAGAATTTTGCTGGGTTTTAGATTTGCTACTGTCCCTGAATATGCATTCACCAAATCCAGTGAGCTGCTTTGACTCCTCTGGATGGGGCAGATCCTACTTCCATTCCACTGCTGCTTTGCCTCACTAAAAAAAGGTGTTGGGTTCTAGGTCTACTTTCTCCCAATCCCCCAACAGGTTAGCAGGAACCCAAAAACCCCAGGTATAAAGGAAGGCAAAGGAGAAGACACCAGTTTGGGATAATGAAGACACCTTCCACAGACCAATGCCATTGGGAGGGACTGGTCAGCTGAGTGGAATAAGCATAGTTTATCTATCTCTGGCCTATGCTCCTCTGCAACCCTTCCTCCCCCGGCAAATCCAAGCCCCGCATATAGCTCCATGCATCACAGGATGATGCAGGGCTTAGGCTTGTGCTTGTGGCATTTCTTCTTATACCCCAGAGCTGTAGCTTGAGGTGCTAGGGCTTCATGCTGGTGTTCACAGGTTGATGGAACTGGTATGCAATTAGCATAATACTGGGCATCCAGTGAGCTGGCAGAGGTGGAAGGAGGCAGGCAGGACATGGCACTGGGTGACCTAGCAGCAGTGGAGGAGGCAGGAGCAGAAGCAGCCTCTTGGAAAGACTGGAAGAGCCCTGGAGGGAAAAACAAAGCAGGATATTTTTTTGCCCAGTGAATGTGAACTCTGAAGGGGACCACACTACTGGAGGAGCCCCACCTTGCCCCTGCAGTGCAGTGCCCCTTAGCACCACCCTGGCATGTCAGGGTGCATACCAACTGCAAGGGGAGAGTGCTCAACCCCTCCTGAGCCCAACATCCTGCTTCCTGCAGCATGGCACCCCCTACTACCACCCTGGGATTGGCACTGAATGTAAGGGGAGAGAGCCCCCTTCACCACCTCCCTTAGCTCCTGCAGGTCTCACATCCAAGCAGTGACACAGGTGGATCCAGCTTAGGTTGCTTGCTGGCACACCTAATCCAAGGATACCTATGCCACGCATGATCCATGGAAGTCCCTACTTCCCCACCCCTTTCCTGTGAGGCCTCTGTCCTCAGCCCGAAGAATCCCAGGTCCAGTCTCTGGGAGGGTCCTTACCAATGTGGCCTTCATCCTCTCCAGTGATGAAAAGCCATTTGGGGGACGTGGCAGGCCTCTGGGAGGTGGCAGAGAACACCAGAGTTTGTGCCCCGCAGCCCTGCACCCTCACCACACTGGGCATAGCCTGCAGCTTGTCCTTCACCGAAGTGGCACCATCCAGTGGGAAGGAGATGAGGTAGGTGGCACTATAGGCCTGACGGAAGTGGAAGAGTGACATGCCCTCTGGATGGCCCTCCAGCACCAGTGCCACCTTCTGCTCCAGCTCAGCCTGGAGGAAGGCCTGAGATGCTGCTGGGGGGTCCCTCTGGGGCTTAGCTGGGTGCTGTGGGCAGGGCAGCTGGCTGGGACCAGGAGCCAGGGTGGGAACTGGTACCGGGGGCACTGGAGGAGTGGCCTGGAAGAGCTCCAGGCTCAGGGGCTGGTTGGAGGAAGACAGCAGGGGCAGCTGCTGCTGATGGCTTGCAACTGGTAGGTGGGATTGGGGGAGGTGGCTCAGAGAGATGGTTCGGTTGGGTGGGATGCTGGCTTTGCCTCTGGTGCGATGTTTGCGGTGAGGTTTGGCCTGTGGTTTGCATGGATGGGAGGTAGACAGGTTACGGCAGGAGCTCCAGGCCCTTGGACCTGCAAAGGGAGAGGTGAAGCTGTTTAGGGCACATATAGGCAGTAAAAGCAGCACAGCAGCCCTACCAGCAAATGTCACTAGGTGGCAGCATCTCCCACAGTCAGTCCCAGGTGTGTAAAAGACTTTGGAAATCTGCTGCCTTGCCATGCGTTATTGTACTTAATATTTTTTATGGAGGTGTCCTTGCAAGCAACCAGCCAAATTTGTGCCGTCTCTGTCTAGAAGGTGGTTTGGCTGCATATTATCAATCTGTTAGAGTCTGGGTCTTTAAGCTCAGACAGGTAGACTTAAAGCTCATGGTTTTATATCTCTGTAAAGCCAGACTAATGGCCAATTTTCATTTGCTAGCAGCTTTGAAAATATATATTTCATTTTGCTTGTTCTAAAGCATTTTGTTGAGCCTGAATTAGTTTTTCAATCTCAGTGCATTAAATAAAAGGTATCAGAATAGTTTCAAATAAAAATATTAAATTTTATTTTTAAAATGTTGTAAAAAATGCTCCAGTTTCTTTGGGACTTTCTTTTTCCCTTAAATTTCTGAGATGCCAGGAGTGAGGGTCCTGTCAGTTGGGTCCAGCCAATTTGGCAACCCTTTGCCAAAAAAGACCAGAATATACATTTGAGTCAAACCTGCATTTTTCAGCTGGAAAGCTTCTCAGCTTTGGGCCCTATCTGGCATATGTGGTGTTACGTCTCCACCCAGAGCCAGTCTCTAGGAACATTACACTGGCATTTGAAGTGGAAATTCCCAATGGAGAAATCTACCTGGGCACTATTTGTGACCACTGCTAGTTTATCCAACAAACAGACAGAAAAGGAATGGCTTAATTTGCACCAGGGGTTTCTTCTTCAAAGGGAAGCCAATATTGATGCCAGGTCAGCAGAGACAAAAATATGCTTTACGCTCTTATGCTCTCCCTTCTCCACCCCCACCTCTGCATTTTTCAAGAATGTGTTTATGGAGTTTCAGGGTTGTTGGTTGTAGCCGTGTTGGTCTAAGGATATAGGCAGGCAAGGTTCTTTGTGTAGATGTGATGTCTTTTATTAGACCAACTGAGTAAACGGGGAAAAAATGCTCTTTGCAAATTTTTGGGCACAAACACTCTTCTTCAGGCATAGGAAGACTCTGCTGGTGGTTTGAGTTCTCCAAGGTAGAAAAGAAGCCAATTTATGACATGCAGGTCTGTGAAAATGAAGATGAGCAGTAATTTGGAAGACAATAGGTAGAGATAGGAGGGCCTACAGCTGACCAACTCAGACCACCAGCAGGGTCTCCTTATGCCTGAAGAAGAGTGTTTGTGCCCAAAAGCTTGCAAAGAGCATTTTTTCCCCCATCTACTCAGTTGGTCTAATAAAAGACATCACATCTACCCAAAGAACCTTGCCTTCATGAAGTTTCACAATTTTCAGGCATGAGTTACTCCTCAGTTGTAGAGGAGAAGGAAGACAGGTGCTTCCAGTCAGTAGCAGAGCTGGAAATTGAAACAATGAGTGATGGCTCTCCGGCTCCTCTTCTCCAATTTGCTGGACCCCACTTCTATCATTTAGGATGGGCCCCAGGTGTCTGACCTCCAGGGCACCTGGTCAAAAGTCAGGGACATAGCTCTGTTGCTCTCCTGTGCTGTGGGACTCCCTTCATCATGACCATCCACTTCATCCTGGCTGGGAATACTGGCTCCCAGCCTCTCCCCTCCTGCTGAGGCATTGTGAGATAGCTACCTAGGCTTTTCCCCAGTGCAGAGATAGTCAAGCAATATGCTGGGGGAGAATTGAGAAACATATTGAGTGTAGTTCCTCATGTAAAACACTATGGTATCTCAGATTATAGGCTGCACCTGCCTTTAGTTTTCTCCAGTGGCCTGACAGTCAGGTCTCATCTGTGTGCTTCCCACTATGAGCTTGAGTAACCCTAATAATTCTGGGACAGGAGCAGCTCTGCTATATGTAGCAGGCAAATCTAGAAGCTAAAATTCCAAGGAGACTCCTGAACCCATTTCCCACAGTTCCCTTGGACAACAGGAACTATCCCAAATCCCTTTGAAGAGCTACCCAGAATGCTATGGGGCAAGGAGAGACTCCTCTCCAGGCCATTCTCCTGGCAGCCAGGTCACAATTGCCCTGCAAAACGCTGCTGCACCTGGCAGCGTAGATGACATCTGTGTCCTTGGCTTGGTATGGGGTGGGGGTTACACCCCCACCCAGGACTGTACCTGCCTGTGGTGGGTCTGGTCCAGCCCACTTGTCCACCTGGACCTGGGGGGTTTTCATGGGGGTTCCTGTGAGATGGCAGGTGGGGTGTTGGCACCGCACCTGCAGCTCATTCTCTTCTTCAGCCAGCACCACCAGGTCTGCCATGTCTCCCAGCAGGTGCTGTAGGGAGTGGTAGCCATGCTGGCGAAGCTCCAGGGGCCAGCCGTGGTGCTGGCAGAACAGCCTCTCAAGATCCCACACTGCAACACCCCCAGGCTGGCTCAGCAGCACCTTCAGCACAGCCCCCTTGAGGGCCAGCACCGAGCAAGGTGGCTCCACACTCCTGCCAGCTACACCTGGTGGAGGAGAGGAAGAGAGAGAGAGACACCTCTGGGGGACTTGATGGCAGTAGTTAGGGGACTTTCCCTAAACTGGCCATTGGTACATTGCACAGACTGCATGGTAGGAGCCCAGGTACAGGTCAGTGTGCCCCTGGGTAAACCCCAACCCCACCACATACCCTTCCTTTCATAGGAAGGCACTGCTGAAGGCTTAAGCAGCAATTGAAGGAGCCTAGCGCTTCCTGCCTCCCACCCTGCTCTTCTTCCACAAGTAGGGCTGGAACTGAGCCCCTGGTACAGCTCAAGACCCCACACCCCTCCTAAATCTGGGGAGAGGACTTAGGTGTCCTGGCTCCCTCCTCCTTTCCACACTAGCCTATAAGACCCCATCCCTCTCCTGGCTGCCCTTGCCCTGCACTGCTCTAACTCACTAGGCACCATCTCCCTTCTTAGAGTTGGGAGACAACCCAGGCATCCTGGCTCCTAGCTCCCCCCCCCACACCTGCTCTAACTACCAGACCTCACTCCCCTTCCAGAGCTGGGGGAACCCAGGTGTCCTGGTTCCCAGCTCCTTCTACTCTAATCCACCAGGTCCCAGCCCTCTCCCAGAGCTGGGTGAGAACCTGGGTGTCCTGGCTCCTAGAGTCCCAATCCTGACTCTCTTCACTCACCAGGCATGCCCTAAACCCCCATAACATCAAACCCAGCACCCCTCAGCCCTCCCTGCCATCCTCAGGGGCATTTATAGCTTAGGTTTATTTCCCCCCCATCCAGCTCCCAATAGGCTATTAGCATGGCACTGGCTGGGGCTGGGCTCCTGGGTACCTTTTAACTCTATAAGTGCTCCAAAAAAACCACAACACAAACCCACCAAGAAACTTGTGCTGGGAGCCAGGACCTAAGTGTGGCGGGGACTGGGACTGGGAAGACTGGATGTACAGTTGTACCAGGCTCCCAAGCTAGCCCTGCCCCCATCAGATAATTCTCTTTCCTATTTCGAGAACTGGGGGGGGGGGGGGGCCTACCAGGGGGTATCGGGCCCCCAAATTTCCCCCCCAGGCCCCGCCGTTTCGGAAGCCGGGGGGGGGGGAGGGTCTACCAGGGTGTATCGGGCCCCCACATTTCTCCCCCAGGCCCTGCTGGAAGCTAGGACACCTGGGTTTTCTCTCAGCTGTGGGAAGAGAGTAGGGCATGGGGCCCAGGACTCATGGGTTCCCTCCCAGCTCTGGGAGCAAATGCAGAGGGGTGGAGTATAAACCCAGGTGTCCAAGTATGATGTCCCTTGCCCACCCCTGCCCTTACCAGCCTCCAGCACCAGCTTCTTCCTTGCTGTCTGATCCATCACGGGTATGAATAGCAGGTAGGAGTCTTGCAGGTGCCCCCTGCCCCACCCAGGTCAGCCTAAGTAAAGTTCCCAGGCTGCAAGCACTGCCTTGATACCCTGTGTTAGCCCCACCCTAATGGGCAAATCTGAGTTCAAAGGTGAGCTGGGAGGCTGGAAATCAGCTGGTTAGAACTGGGGAAATGGGTGTGGTGAGCAGAGTCTGAGCTGCTTAGGGACGGAACCCAGTCCCCCTGGCTCCCAGTCCCCCTTCCCCCATAACCCACTACATCCCACTTCCCTCCCAGAGCTGGTGTCCTGGTAGTGTAGGCCTGAAAGTCACCTTAGCAAAAAGCTTAGCATAAGCAACACCATTTTGTGCCTTGGCTTAATTAACTCAATGCAAAAGCAAGTAAGTGACAGTGTAAAGTAACCTTTTTTCCCCTATGTTGACAGAAAGTGAAAAGAGGATGTGGTTTAACAGTCCAAGACAACAGGATATGGACAGCAGGCTGGCAGGAAAACAAATGACTGCTTGTGAAAGAGAATTGATGGATATTTGTGCATAAAAGCACATAGCATAAACAATAAACAAAAATGCAGTTTGCTAAATACAAGGGCTGCAAACTAAACAGCTAAAAGGCATGCGCCTAAGCATAAAGAAAGCATGTGAGCAGAAAAGGCCAACTGGGCAAATGGTAAAATGAAATTGCAACCGCAGCAGGCACAACCCTAAGTCAAGAATCTGCACAGAACATGGAGCAAGTCAGAGTTGCAAAGAGGACCGCTATGTAAGAACTCGGAGTTGGGGGAGAGAGTAATCTACAGGACAAGAAAGAACAGGCACTTGCCCCTTGGTTCAATGACCAGACACCTGGGTAGCTAAACCCACTGTATCGATGAGAAGGCTCATGGAGGAATATCTATATTGACTGTTAGGGCTTGCTTAAAGGTTAAGTGTTGCATTTGAAGCCTTTCTTAAATATTGGTGTTGCTTGTGCATTCAATAAATTAGTATTTTACATTGGAATAGTCTCACTGATCAATTCATTTCCATTCCCTGCCACCCCTTAACTAAATTTAGCACAACAAGGAGGGCACTGACTGCACTAAGTGTCTGCAGAGCATCCCAGGCTGGAGCAGACCATGGCCCTGAAAGCTTCTTGCTGTTATGTGTGTTCCCAAAGGGTCAGATCCCAGCAGGAAGGTGGGAACTTGGGGGTTCATAGTATGGGGAATTAGGGGAGGGCTTGGGAGAGGCAGTTCAGGAAGGGGGGCTGTGCTATGGGCAGGGCTGCCCGGGGGGTGGGGGAAAACTGGGGTAATTTGCATCGGGCCCCTGCAAAGCAAAGGCCCCCTGCCTTGGCTCCTGTATGTACCATTGGCCCCTGCCCTGCAACATCACTCACCAGGATCCTTAGTATTTTGTTCTCATAAAAAAGAGGAAATTGGTGTGTTAGAGTGCAAGACAACACTGAATCATTCTCAGCGTGTAATTGTGACATTATGGGACCCATCCCTGACCATGAAGTAAATATTGTACATAGTTGTGTGTGAAACAGATGCTAATTTGAGGCGGAAGTGATTGTTGTGTTGATGTCCAAGGGGGAGTCTAAACCAAGCATGGTAAGGTAACATCTTTCTTTATCTCTGACAAGATTGATCAGGCAAGCTTATGATTGCCTGATCACAGAGTTTGCAGCCCTGGTTACAGAGTCTGTTGTGAGGAGAGAAGGAACAGCGAAGGCTTAAAGGAGGGATCGGTGGCAGAGCCGGCCTGTTGTCACAGCAAGACCTCCAGGGGAATTCAATTGTGAGTGAATGTCAGTTTTGTGGGTTCTTAAGGGCCAAAGTCAGAAATGAATTTGCAGGAATATAATAATTAAAATTATATATATTGTTTCCTTCTTATTTACCAAGGAAAATTAACAGCATTGGACATAATGCATATTCAGGTTCACGTATTTCCCCACTTCAAAAAGTACTTAAATGCAAGGTGTCTATATAACTCTTGGAGGGAAAAAAATATAAAGTCCTCCTTGACTGAAGAAGTCTGTGCTCCAAACTGCAAATCTTGCTTTCAGTATTGCAGAGATGACTTGCTCTCTTCTGGTCCTTCAAACAGCAGCAGTTGCTAACTAAGGGCTATAAAAATATGACCAGTCTCACAATGCCCTTAATCAAGGGGTTAAAGGCTAAATATCCAAGTTTATTTTCCAGCAACAGTATGAAGAAAATCCTCCTTCCTCTGTCTACTCTCTCTGCAGTTGCTTTCTTTTTCCTTAAACAGGGGGCCTGCTTATCCTCTGCCACAGCCACAAGCCTGAACCAAGAACAACCCAGCTTATGGGGGTTACATGAGCACCAGCTAAGATTTTCAGGCAAGGTCCCACTGGAGAGTAATTTTCTGTGGCAGGTACCACAGGGAAAAGGCCTAGGAGTGGTGTGAGGCCAGGCCTTAAGGGAGGAATCCTTCCTTTCTGAGTAGCGGAGGTGGCCAGCCAGAAGGCCACCTGTGAGATTGAGCTTGGCCCCAGGCAACTGGTAGGAGAGAGAAGCTCTGCCAGAAGTGGTTTGGAAGGTGCTCAGGAGAAGTACAACCCTGTTCTTATCCCCGGGTAAGAAAAAAATGAAGCGCACCTATCAATCCGGGGCATCAAAAAGAAAGGAGACAAAGGAGAAAAAAGCTTGGGATGAAAAGGGGAGGCAGACATTGGATCAGTTTGAATGAGTGGTGAAAAGAAATAAGGAAGTTGGAAGTGGAACAGGTGATGCAGCTGGCACATCACTTGTAGGGATGAAGACTATTCTGATCATGGAAACATCACAAAGGAAGCAAGCAGTGATGTAGCAGGAGAATGTGAAAATGAGCCAGGTTTGGTGGTGCAAGCTGAAGGAGACATAGCATCAAATGAGAAAAATGAGACAATTGATCTGATTTCCGGATCTGCGCTTGAGCTTCACCAATTCTGGTCATCTTCAACATTATTTACAGTGGAAAGATCTTGCAAATGCTCTTAGTGGAAAAGGAGCCATTGATAATGCTCTTGAAATTGGTATACATTCAGAGAAGGAAAAGTGGCATAAAGTGTTGTGAGGTCTGGTTGATGTTACCCTGTTTCAGGCAGAGCGAAATATGCCATTCCGAGGATCACATTTTACCCTAGAGCATGATGACTGCGGGTTCTTCCTTTCTACTGTACAGTTCATCAGTAAATACAATCAAGATCTGAACTGCCACCTTGAAACTGTTACGGAGCATTGAATGGCTGGGGAATGAATGCAAGCACACTACATGTCCTGGCATAGTCAGAATGAGTATTTGGAGGTGTGTGCCAAGGAAGTACTAAATACAATCCTTGAGGATGTGAGAAATGTTCGCTACTATAGAATCTTTGTATATGGGACACCTGATGTCTTGCATACTGAGCAGCTGTTATTTATTATCATGAGATGCATACATGAAAAAGATGGAAAATGGGATGTGCAGGAACAATTTCTGAAAATGGTGGACTGCGATAAAATGAAAGGAGTAGACATCGTGGAGCGGATAAAGAAAGTACTGGCGGAGTGTAAGGTAGAGTTGCAGAAGTGTAGAGGCCAAGGGTATGACAGTGCTTCAAATATGTTTGGGAAATACCAGGGTGTGAAAACTAGGATACAGGATGAAAATCCTCAGGCATTGTTTTCACCCTGCAGCGTATACTCGCTGAACCTATGTGGTACCCATGCCCTGGAGAAGAGCCCTGAAGTGAAAACATATTTCGGAAATTCAGAGGCTGTACACTGTCTTTTCACTCAGTCCTGCAAGATGGAAAATTCTTCAGGAAACTGCAGGACTCCCTTCACTCCATGTCAACAACTAGATGGAGCTCGAGAATTGATGCTGTTTCCCCTCTTGTGAAAAATCCTAAAGGGATGCTGGATTCTCTCTTCAAAATTGAGGAAGAATTGAACGTGACAGCGTAAACCCAGGCTGATGTTTCAGGTCCCACTGAGTGGATGGAATCCTTTGAGTTCATCCTTCTGACTACAGTGTGGTGCAAGATATTGCAGTCCATCAGTATCCGAAGCAAGCTTGTCCAAGGATCCAAGCTTACCATGGAAGAAGGGGTGCAACATGTCAAGAGCCTCCTGGAAGAAATTCAATGGTTGAATGATTCCTGGCCAAGTCTTCTCACGGAGGCTAAGGTTATCGCTGAGGGGCTAGGTATCACCACCGAATTCAAGAGAACACAGAAGAATCCAAAGGATGAAGCATTTCCACGATGAGCCAGCCAATACAGAATACGCAATCTTTTCCCCTGAAGATAAATTCAGGGTTGAAGTATTCATCACAGCCACGGATATGCTCCTCTCAGATCTCTGAAGGCTAGCTGAGACCATGGGGAAACTCTCAAGCTTGTTCTCACCCATACTTGACCCACCAGCTGTTGCAGAGGATGAAGACATTGCGAAGTTTGCCGAGTCCCTGTCCACCACATACCCACAAGATGTGAATATGGATGAGTTGCAAGAAGTATACCTGTTTTACAAAATCAGGAAAGAATCAAATTTGTGCATTCTGGAGGAGCCATGGGCACTGCACTTGAGCTTCTCAACCGGATGTATGGCAAAGGTGTAGAATCTGTGTTCCCTTAGATATACAGTTGCTTGAGAATGCTCATTGCCTTGCAAGTCTCTGTTGCATCCAAGGAATGCACTATTAGTAAGCTTAAGATTATTAAGAACTACCTGCGGTCATCAATTGGGGAGGATAGGTTGAACCATTTGATCATGCTCTCAGTGGAGAAGGCACTTGCAAAGCAAATAAATTTGATGACGTAATTGAAGACTTTGCATCCATGAAGGCAAGAAATACTTGACTTGAACTTTCCTCTTCTCATTTTGTTCTTAAGTTCCTAACTTAAGTTTACATTGCAGACTGGGTGTTCATGAGTGGGACTAAATATCTGTGAAGACACTGCAGCATGTACATAAAGATCAGCTATACAGGAGGCTGGGCTTGAAATGGAAAGGATCTGAATTAAGAGTGAAGCTGCTGTGTCTTCACTGCTCTTTGAGCTTGTGCAGACTAATTCAGGTCAGCCAAGCCAGTCTGAGAGAACCTTGCTTTTGGAGTGTGGACAGAACCACTGCACAAAACCTGCCCGTTCCATTTGATTCCTTTTTGATATTCTTCCCAAGGGAAAAAAAAAACCTCTTTGTGTTGAGATGGACATTTTTTGAAACTATCTGTTCCAAAAGGAAACAAAATCCTCAAGTGTTTGAGACTTCCCACAGAATGAAAGCACCACTATTTAGGACCTTCAAAATCCTTACTACTGAATGTCCAGCCTCAGAAAACTATTACATATATCTGTAGGCAATACTCAAATGAGGCAATTAGAATATTTGCATTAAAATAACAATGCACTGAAAAATAAATTTTGCTTTGATAAGGCTGAAGTGTAACAAAAAGATGCAATTACCTAAGCAGAAAGGCAGGCAGACAAGCTGGCAGAGAAAGAAGAAACAAGCATATTTTTTTAAAGAGTAATTTGCTTTCCTATATTGTTTGTAAAGTTGTCCGTGTATGTCTAATTTTTACACCCCCCCAGTAATATTATAATACATGTAAATATATAAATATGTAAATGTGATGCAAAGTGGAACAACCATACTGCTTTGCTGTTGACACAAGAAAATATGAAATATCCATTGTTAATATTTTATTATTCAAGGCCAAATACAAAATCCCTTTCAACAGTGCCAGCATGAGCAAAGCTTTGAACAATTTGTTTCACCTTTTCCCTTATTGAGCTTCACAGTTGACACAGACCTTTCTAGGCGCTTGAAAAAAATCTTTCATTTACCATGGAAGACTTTTTATCAAAGTGTTCCCATCAGCTCCATTTAACCAGGCTTATTTGTGTCAGAAATCCCTGCGTTGTCCTTGTATTCTGGGGGTGGCCTATATCCTTCTGCTGGGCCTGGTCTTCCACTCAGACTAAAAACCCTTTGGGGAAGGGACTGTTTTTTTGCTCTGCCTGTATAACACCTTCCAATTTGGGGGTCTCAGTCCATGATCTGCCTCCTAAAGCATTCCCAAATCACTTCTGTGAAGAGCCAGGTAGTGAAGATGCACATGGAATATTTGTTCAAAATCAAACCTATATGGTAAAAAATCTTCATGGTAGTAGGATTTCATTTAAAAAAATGAAGATGAAAAACCAGCAGGCAAGCTGTCTGAGACTTCTGCAGATGGCTGTTTTCAGCCTGTGGCTACCAACTTTTAGTGACTGGATAAAGGCCACATAATTCCCATTTTCAGGTGGGTTCTGAATTAGAGAATACCCTACCCTTTCCCACTAGCTCCCACCCCAACCATCCCACATAAAATAAAAATCAGTAGCCGTTTCTTAAAAGTTCTAGGCCCAAAGTTTCCAGCTCCCTCAAAGGATCTTCATAGTATCACATAAAGGAACTCCAGGGTGAGGATATACATACCAGTCCCTTAGGGGGTCAGGCACGTATCCTATCTTTGAGATGCTGGAGCAGAAGACATGTCCCCATCTCTGGAAAGGTTGCATATAAGAGAAGCGTCTTTCACCAAGTCCTTTACTGTTCAGACAGCAACACTGTATCCCTGAGTGTTGTGACAAGACCAGGTGTGCTCTACTCCAGAGCTGCATGTATATTGATAGCTCTGGCTCACTGCTGGATGATAGCAGCACTAGAGAATGATGCAGCGGTCAGAGTTGTGTGGCTGAGATGGCTGTTGCGGGGCCTCCATGTCTGTCCAAGACGGACACGGGCAAACCTCAGGCTCATCCCATCCCACGATGGAACAGGGTGTCCTGCGTGTTTCAGTCTCAGCTCTGCTGTGTGTGGGGGAGGGCTGAGGAGAAGCAGTGGGTGCAATGGGGTACAGAAAGGCTTCTTCAGAATGGTATACTGCTCCCAGGCCAGGCAGCCTGTTCTCCAACCAGATTTGCCTGGGGCCTAAGTATGCCCTCAGGGCTCTAAAGGTGTTGGTGTCTGGTGTAGGGAGGGGGCTGACCTCGGCCCTTGGGCCTGCAATGGTCACTGGGGTGGTAACATCCTCAGTGGAAGGCCAAACATCAGGGCTGGGATCTAAAAGGAAGCCCATAGGGTCCTGGTACTGCCCTGAGACTCTAGAGACTGGACCGGCCCTGGGAGATGGATGGGGGAGGTCTTGGGTGGGAGATGCAGGCTGGACTGGCTCGGCCTGGGCTTGAGGGATCTGTGCTCCCACATCTTTGGCTGGCTGCAGGGATGAAGGCAGTGGGATGGGATCAGGTAATGGGATCTGCTGGAGTGGAGGGTACACAACTGGATGAGACGCTGAGCTGGCATCATCCACGACAGGGAGAAGTTCAGTCTGGGCTGGGGTCCATGAGCTGCTGCTGGGCTCCATCTCCATGGTAATCACAGGAGCACTGGGCACCAGATCAGGCTTCTTGAGGGCAGCTTTGGGCCTCACAGCCTGAGTGGGTGGCAGGGCCCAGGGGGCTGGTGGGGACTCAGGCCCCCATGGGCCTCCTGGGGGTTGTGGGGCCAGGACAGGTGGGGGCTCAGCCAGTTTGTCAGGGTCTCCAACAGGATCAGCAGCTTCTTCTGGGATCAAGAGGGTGAAACCTTCAGAAACAAATCCAATTGAATACCAATTAAGTAACAGGGAAGATCAAAATGGACAGCTCCCCCCCACTGGGCTGGGCCTGTCCAACCTCACAGCCAAGCCCTGCCCGTTAACATCTGCACCAACAAATTTAATTGCTAGAAGCTTCCTACGCTAGCAGCCAGCTAGGAACCCTCCTAGCAACCACCAATAGGATCCGTAGTCAAAGCAGCATGCGTGCCTTGGGGCAGACGACAGGGAAGGGGCCAGAGCTGGCTGCCCCAACAAGGATTGGGCCCTTGCAGCTTCCCTGCCATCTGCCCCTGGCACGCCAGCAAGTCGAGGTTGTGGGTGTTTTGGGCACTCTGCCCAAAAACATTGATGACCCTTGCACTAGAGGGTGCCAACCTCCCATTTTGCCCTCCTGTGGGCTATGCCCATTTGATAAGACAGTGGTCAATTCTGGGATATGTCTAGGTGGCCTCTACCCGTCTTGCCTCAGCTCTGAGGAGGGACAAAGAACACTGCTTGTAATACATCCTGGGACACATCCCACCTGTGGCACTGAGTACATTTGCTCCAGGGAAATCTGGAAAGCACCAGACATTTCCCATAATGCCATGGGCTACAGTGCCAGATGCAAACAGCACATTACTAACAATGCCCTCTGGGACACATCCTGCTGCAGAAACAGATCTTAGTGAGACTGATGTCTCCAGACTGGGGTGACCTGTGCATGTTGCCATATGGAGCTACATGTCTCTGGCCATGTTTATATGAGACGCCACTGTGCAGTACTGTTGTGGGGCACTAACTGTGATGCGATGCTGCTGTGCAGTAGTAACAAGCTACTGCGCAGTAGCATCAGCAAAAAACCATGCGGGAACATTACTGTCATTTAGTACTTGTTTATGCAAGTACAGGCGACCCCCACTTAATGCTGTTTCACTTAACACTATTTCGCTATAATGCTCATTTGAAATTGATACCTGATTTCACTTAGCGCTCAGCGAGTTTTGTTACAACGCTTGCAGTCCCCATCTTGGGTCATTAAAAACAGTTGTGGTTGCCATCTTGGGTCGTCAAATACTTTCAGTTTCGCTTAATGCTCGTTTCACTTAATGCTCAATTGTTCAGGAACCAATTAAGAGCGCTGAGCGGTGGTTGCCTGTACTAAATGACTGCACAGTAACAACTGCACAGTCTGCTGCTCATGTAGACGCAGCCTCTGTGTATCAGTGGCAGGTCCCATTCCTACTGGCCCCAAAGGAACCCCAGAATCTGTTTTGAGGGGGCCCCGATCGTTCATGCCCTGATGGATGGATACATGGCACAGCCCAAAATATCCTCCATCAAATGACGCATCTCCCTGACCTGGCATGCCACTTTTGGGTATTAAGACCACTGCCCCCAGCACTCCACAGCGCTTGTATGCCCCAAGCAGGGCAGCTGCCTCCATCCCAGATACATACCAGGATCACCGCCTGTGGAGTTGCTGTTAGAGACAGGCAGCAGCAGTGTCTGGACTCCATACCCTTGGATCCTCACCACATCAGGCATTTCTGCCAGCCGCTGCTTGGCTGAGGCCGCGGGACCCAAGGGCAGAGGGTGTTGGTAAGTGGCACTGTAGGCTGCCCGGAACTGGAAGACAGATATGCCCTGGGGATGCTGGGCCAGGATGCTGGCCACATTCTGCTTCAGCTCTGCCAGGTCTTTGGGGGGTTGGGTGGATGGGGTACAGCCTGGGTTGGCTCTAGGCATGTCTGCTCTGGCTGGCTGGGTCCTAAGCACCTTGGCCTCTTCCTGTGGCCATAGGCCCAATGGGGTGCTATCCAGTTGGGCCCTTTGTTCCTGGGTTTCCTCCTCTACCCAAGGGCCCCAAGGGGCACGATGCAGCTGAGTGGTCGGCCTCTGAGTTTCCTTTCCAGTTTTCGGGCCTGAAGGAATGGTATCAAGCTGGGTGCTGGACCACTTTCTCTCTTTATTCATGCTCAGGACTGAGGGTGCACTGACTAACTGTGCACCAGGCCCTGGGGACTCCTTGTGTGCCCATGGACTCTGGGGAGGGCTGTCCAGCTGGGCCCTACCTACTGGGGTTTCCTTGCTTACTTCCAAGCCTGAGGAAGCACTGTCTAGCTGAGGACCAGGTCCTTGGATATCCTTGCTGACTTGCAGGCCTAAGGGGGTGCCAGCTGACTGGGGTGAGTTCATGAGCCAGGCTGGCAAATGGGCATTAGGTAGGAGCTGCTCACTCAGCATGCCCTGCACAGCAGGGGCACCAGGGGTCTCTTGGGCCAGGGATTTGGTGGTACTGGGTAGCTGAGGGTTGAACCAGCAGTTGTCAGGGGGTGCTGGAGAAGCAGCACTGGATAGGTGCCCCTTGGGGCTGGACAAGGGTTTGGCACTGTCAGAGGGTGACAGTCCAGAATCTTCTTGATTCCCTGAAGGAGAAAGAAGGGAAAGTGTCATCAAGGCAGGACACACTACAAAGGAGCAGAGGCCACTGGGGAAGCTACTGGATGAAGTGGAGCAGGGGTATCCCAGTGTGCGCTGTGGTGGGCACTTGACTCCAGATTGTTCCCAGAGTGCACCGGAATAAATCTGGGTTTTTGTTCCAGGGCTGTGCCCTATGGACTGGGATTTCAGACCTCCAGAAATATGGGTCTGCTCCTGGCAATGACTCTACAGAAGACAAAAGAATGGCAACAGCACAGGATGGACCCTGGGTGGCAAGTGGGGCTCAGGAAGAAAGCTAGGACTCCTGAGTTCTCTCCCAACTCCAAAAGAAGAGTAGGGTCTAGTGGGTTAGAGCAAGGAGACTGGGAACCAGGATGCCTGGGTTCTTTCCCAGCTCTGGCTGGGATCTAACGACAGGTGTTCCTGCCCAATCCTGCTGTATTCAGACAGCCAGATGATGCAGTCCTCCCCTTTCTTGGGGCACCAGCACTCCAGCCTGGACACGTGGTCCTGCAAAGGGCAACATGTCCTCATAGCCCTGGAGGCATCCAGGTCCAGACCATGGCTCTCCTGCAGGAGCTCCTGTGCCTTCCGCAGCCTCATGCTCAACTGGATTTTACTGCCCAGCAGAGCTCTGAGTGATGCTGAGACTTCACTGATGCCTGCGAGAGACTGACTGGCATTCATAGCCCTGTGTGGCCACCCAACACCATAGGCAATGCTTGGGGCTGGGGTAGAGGCTTTTCCTCTCTAGAAGGCACTGGATGTGACCCAGTTTTGGCTGGCATAGGCCAGGGCTTTTCTGTTCTGG